AATGAGATGCTTAAAGAACATTACTCAGGCTGCAAAGTCAAAGCTCTCAAAGGTTTGGAAATGCCAGAATTACGGTTGCCTATGCCACTGTCATGGGTACATTATGATACAATTTTTAATTACAACCCCTTGTTACTTTTTCCATAGGACTCAGTTCATTCACTGCATAGGATGGGAAATGCTCACTTGAACAAACACTATAAGTAGAACATACCAGGTTGTTCAATCAGAACAGGTTATTATTAGGCCTGTGCAAAGCAGCTAGTATTCACTTCAGATTCGACCAATTCGGGTTATAGTGATTCAATTTGGTGATTCAAATCACTGTCCAAAATCAATTCGGTCAAATCCAATTTGGAGATTCAGCTGGTGCCGAATCTCCTGCCCACTCTCCCAGCCCAGCAATGGCTGTCCCGCCCGGCTCAGCTCCCGGCACTTTGGAAAAAAAAGCCCTGGATCACCAGGTGCTGCCAGGGGAGGGCCATCTCCGCTTCCCCCCGCTGTGTGGGGCACTCTCCATGAGCCTCCTGACCCCTCCCTGCTCCCCTAGTCCCCCAACAGGTGCCCCACCTGGGCCAACTCTGGCCCTTTAAGAAACCCCCCCCCCAAGAAAAGCCCTGCACTCAACATTCCTGCCAGCAAGGGCCGATCCCCGCTGCCCCCCACTTTGGAAAAAAAAGCCCTGGATCACCAGGTGCTGCCAGGGGAGGGCCATCTCCGCTTCCCCCCGCTGTGTGGGGCACTCTCCATGAGCCTCCTGACCCCTCCCTGCTCCCCTAGTCCCCCAACAGGTGCCCCACCTGGGCCAAAAAAAGCCCTGGATCACCAGGTGCTGCCAGGGGAGGGCCATCTCCGCTTCCCCCCGCTGTGTGGGGCACTCTCCATGAGCCTCCTGACCCCTCCCTGCTCCCCTAGTCCCCCAACAGGTGCCCCACCTGGGCCAACCTGCACCACGTGGGGGGCTCTGCACAAGCCCTGGAAGCCCCAAGGCTGCTGCAGGTGTGGTGAATCCCGGGGCTTTTCTCTATTGTTTTTTTTTCTTAAAGGGCCAGAGCTGGCCCAGGCAGGGCACCTGTGAAGGGGTTGGGGGGCACGTGGCAGAGCCCCCCCCATGCAGTGTGGAGGCATAGGGGGCAGCACCTGGTGAACACTGGGGCTTTTCTTTAAAGGGTTGGGAGCTGGGGGAGACAGGGCAGTCATGGGGGGGCTGGGGGAGCAGGCGGGGTTCTAGGGGGGACTAGGGGAGCAGGGGCCATCGGGAAGACTGGCAGGGGTCCTCCCATGGTCCCCTCCCCCAGCCCCAAGTACTTAGCAGCTCTGAGTCCGGCTGCAGCTCCCTGCTGCAGCCACCTGAGAGCCCAAATCATCAAAGCTCTCCAAATCTCTTCCAAAGATTCGGAGGCCTTTGACTCAGTTCAGACCTTTTAATTGGTCCCCTGATTCAATTTGGATTCAGAGATTCAGCCACTGAATCAGGCTGAATCTCCTCTGAATCAAATCACCACCCAAAACTTCGCACAACCCTAGTTATTATGTTTTAAAAAGGAGACTGTGTACACAGATAACCTCCTCAGTGTTTCTACTGATGTTGACATTGCTCCTAGACTCCTGGGTGTTATGGACTGTATGAACACAGAAGGAAAAGAGGCTCCGCACCCCAAAGAGCTTACAGTCTAAAATAAAAAATGGATAGAAGCAGATGGGAGGGCAAGGAGATGTTAATGGCGAGCAAAAGGGGTGGTGATCTCAGCACTTCAGCAGCTTGTTGTAAAGTTTCCTTTGGACACCTAGGTAGAAGGTGGATTTAAGGAACAATGAAATGGCTTTGTAGGTGTATATAGAGATCTTCCCCCAAGCATGAAGGGCTGCATGGGAAAAATCTGAAAAACACGTCTGAAAGATGAGTGGTGGGTGATGAGGACCAGCACCACAGGCTAACTGAGACATGAGTCAACCTCTACAGCTGACGATAGACATGAAGGGGCCAAGCTTTGACGGACCTTGAAAGTGAAGAGAGGTATCATGCAACATGTTTTAGCCAGTGAAGGATTGTAAAAAGGGAGGCAACATGGCCAAAGCAGAGAGGCTGGGAAAATGAGGTAGCACATCACAAGATTTACAAGTTCACTGAAATAAAACTAGGAAAATGCTATCCCTTCAAGTTTCCCTTTCCCAATTCTCAGTATAGTACCAAGCAGTAAATTGGCTGCTAGAAAACACTTATATTCCACCAGGTTGTCTATACTGAGTATGTTTCCCTCTGGCAGAATGCACACTGAGTGACAAACAGCAAATACTGTAAGATTACCTTCAACAAGTCAACCAGAATTGCTAGTAGCTCAATAAACTGTGAGCTAAGGATACTTCTATCCACCCTCATTTACTCTCTCTAAGTATTAGTATATGTTTAAATTACAAAATGGCTCCATTCATCACACAACCCCAGAGATCCATCAAGGTCTCCTAGCTCGCAATAAAGCCTAAAAAAGGTAACACTTGTTGGGTCCAATATGCTGCAATGGGAAGGAGTTTTAAATTTGAAAATGACAAAAGTTCAGCCTGTTGAATTTAGAAGCCCAGTCCTGCAAGCTCTTTTCCTTGCAAATAGTTACTAATCAAATAACATGATGCAGTTCAAACCAGTCAGCCCATAAATAAGGGTTTGCAACATGGAATCTAAATGTTAAGTCTCAGCAACTTTAGCACAGGCCAGACAGGCCAACTACCTCTGAGTTCAGATGAAGACAGCAGCTCAGAGAAGTTAAGTGATTTGTGAGGGAAAAGTAAAGGGTAAGGTAAGGGAATGACAGTCAGAGATTGGGTCTAAAAATGACCTTGAACATACTTTCACAGACTCTGAGCCCATCTCTTCACCTTTAAAACAGGGGCTGTGATATTATTCTCACCCATGTGGGTACCACAGACCCAGCATTTGTAAGATGCTAACGGCACAGCGTTCTGTTACAAGTGGCAGAGAAAGGCTCTCAATAACCTGCTCTCTGGCAAACCACATAGGCTCTATGGAGCTGCCACCACCTTCTCAAGGCACCGGGGTAAAATTTTAGCAAAGGGGTTTTAATTCCTTCTCCCCAGAAAACAGAAAATATTTTATAGGAAAGTTAATAGTTTTCAAAACCGTCTCTTCTCATTTCAAGGAATATCTGAAAACAGGCCAATTTAAAAGTGGACTATAGCAGCAAACAACCATGAAGTGGCAGCATGGACAGTCTTTACCACAGGGGATTTTCTTTGAAAGCTGACATTTGCTCTTTGAAGCAATGTAGCTATAGGGTTTTCTCCATGCTCCCAGGTTTTTTTCCTAAAGCAAGTACATGCTGTCACACCACTGAAAATGAGAGGCAGAAATGCTGATGTCACAGTCACAAAGGGGAGTGATTTCACAATGGTGTCAGCTACTGTATTTACTTGAATCCAAGATGACCCCCCCACCCCCCAATTTAACATAGGGACAAAAGCCTCTCATCTTGCATTTGCGTACAAGGCAATGGGGAAGCAGGTGGCTGTGACCTGGGCTCCAGCTCCAGCGCTGACCTGGGTTCAGGGCCAGGGCTGCTGCCTGCCCCCCTTCCCACAGCTACCTCTTCTCCCCTTATCACTTGCCCCACAGCCTCTGCCCCCATCTGCGTGGCAAGCTCCGACCCTGCTCCAGCCCAGGGCACAGAGCACATGCTTTGGCCCCAGCCTGGCCTGGTAACAGTTGATGCAGCAGTGGCAGCTCTGGCTGGGCCCCAGAGCTGAGGAGTGGGGCAGAGGCAAGCACTGGGGGGAGGGTAGGTACCAGGGGGTGCAGGTATGGGGGGAGCACATAGCAAGGGGGCAAGTACCAGGCAGGAACAAGGGATGGGGGCCTGGGGCAAGAGGGGCAGCAGGGGGTAAGTTGGGGGGGGCCCAGGGCAAGCAGCCTGACCTTCCCCCACAGCTTGGCCCCCAACTACCTTCCCTCCACCTGCTCCCTACTACCCCACAACTTACTCCCGACCACCCGCCCCCTACTGCCTCCTGCACCTTCACCTTCCCTACCACCTGCCCCCCTGCTCTCCTTTTCCCCACTGCCTGCCCCCTCACCCTCCCTACTGCCACTGCTTTCCCCACTGCCACAGTTGGGAGGACAAATTTAAGATGGCTCTCCAGTCATTAGATTCTATACATGGAAAATGATAACACATTTATAAATGTTCCATGTATATAGTCTAATTATTGGAGGGTTGTCTTACATTCAGGGTCATCTTTGATTTGGTTAAATATGGTAGTTTCATAAGTTTTCCTCCCTTTATTCTACCTGCCTTAAAAAGGCCACTGCAATTATAATAGTAAATCTCCCAGCTAAACAGAATGCTACTGTTTGATGATCCCTCAGCATGGGGTCAAGCTAGTAGTTAACTGCTTGTAAGTCAAGCTTCTCTGCTTCAAAATGACATTTTACCTGCTGCCGTCACACTTAAGGTGACTATAACTGAAAGGAATAAGAATAAATGTAGCTACTTATTTCACTATAACCTCTTCCCGATACCTCATAATCAGTTTTGTTGTTTTTGCTATATAGTTAAGTTGCTCAGAAAGTGGGTCCTCCTGCAAAAAGAAAAAAACAACCTTACACTGAAAAAACAGCAAGTATATTTTTTCCAAGTGTTTAGGTACTAAGAAAAAGTATTTTTTTCAGAGAAATCAGATACTTTTGAGAAAAAAACAAGGCTTAATATAACACATTCCCCTCTCCCTCTCAAAAAGCCCACTCTAAAAAACACTAATTTCCTATGAAAACTTGTTTGAGTAGAAACTTTTCCAGCAGCTCTGGTACACACCCAGTGAGGCTGGCTGTTTTCACTGCTCTTTGTGTGGATTTACTTGACAGCACAGGGGGAAAAAAGAGCTCATTTCTAAAAATTTGAAAATGTGCCTCTGAACCCAGTAACACTTCCCTGATTATTATTACATATGAATATATTTGGCATCAGAATGACTGTCCTTATTAAACTTACAAATTATGGTCAAATTAGTGTTTTGAAATCCTTGCCTTCCACATCTATCGTGGGTTGTCAGTAATGTTGCACAGCATCACCCTGGACAGGAAAGTGACTCTGACGTGAACCAATTCAGAGAAGTAATCACATGAGCCAAGAGAAATCAGGCAGGCTCAGAACATTGTTCTAATTTGCTAATTATCTTTTTAAATGTTTCACACAAAACTCTGGGGTCTGCTACTGCAGCTGAATCTGAACTTAGTGATAAGGTGACTGAGCAGAATAAGTCATCCTTATTAAGGAGCAATTAGCTGAGTAAAGTTCTCCCTGCTAGTCTGTGAATATTAGTGCTCATGTTTTTTCAGCCAATGATAGGCTCAATAATAGTGTTGAAGAGAAAAATGAAAATCTATTAGACTTATTAAGAGCAGACTTGCACTTTCACTGTAATACAGCTGCTGAGAATCTACTAAAATAATGCAGAAAATTCTCTGCTGAGAAGTAAATGCATCATAGTAGCTAATAGCAGCTTTTCTTATAGCAGGAATCTGACCTCACATGTGCTGCTCAGGATTATTGCTGTCAGAATGACTAAAGGCAGAGGAGGCATTTTATTAAAGAGCAAGTGCCAAGGGGCTGCAAAGCCTCTTCCAAAAGGGATGGATCTGCCTTCTGTTTGCAACAATCACTAGTATATAGCATGAAGACTGGTTCTTTTCTCTACAGAAAGCCTTGCAAAGCCTAGGAAGTGAACAGAGAAATATAGAACCATTTAGGAGAATGAGCGTCACCAATAATGCAGAAAAGAAAGCATAGGATGGAAAGAGCTACAGTGTCTTGGCAGGCCCTGTAACAGCAGCAGCAAGGCTGGAAGTGAAGAGAGCAGGCAGGCATGTGTGCAGAGGAAGGTAAAGATCAGCATGTGTGGTGGTGTAGCTATCAAGCTTGCCCAAGAACCCTTCCCAACGCTAGCAGGGGAGCAGATGACCTTACAAGTTTCAGGATATGCTCAAGGGGCCCAGTAAAAAAATTGAGCTTTTTAGAATTAATTTTAAAATATTCAAGCTTATAGTGGCCCTCAAAGGAAGGACACATTTGGTGCCTAATCAACTTGCATTGTTTTTTTTCCTAGAAATGCTGGCTTGCAATCGTTGCTCAGACTTCATTACATCAGCAGGGGCAGTGAGCAGTGTGCTCTGGTCCCTCACATACATGTTCCCCCATTGCTAGATAATGAGAAGTGAGCAACACAGAGACAATTATATCAGATTTACACCTTTAGACCCTCAGTCACTCCATCAGAGCAGCTTTCTAAGTGTCTTACTTGAGCATCACAAAACACTGCTCTGGCCCTTTTAACTTCTCTCATCTTACAAATCTTTGCCAATTGTCCTACTGAACATCTTTGCTTTAAAAGCATATTTTTGTAGTGACTGGCTGCTATGAGAAAAGGGAATGTAGCAGCCAGTCTGCCTACCTGATTTGGGCCAACAATAGTAGTGAAAAAAACAGCCTTAAACTGCAGTAGTCTGGTATCTTGCTCCACAGTAGGCTACTTTAACATTCCCCATACACAACTATTAGCTCAAGGTCTCAGTTCTTGCACAGATATAAATATAGACAAAGTAACACTGACATAAGTACAGTATTGACCATATAAGGGGAAGTTTCTCCATGGCTTTTTAAGAGTCCCTGAACAACTAAATACAAAAGATCTAAGGAAACCAATTCACAGAAGTCTCACAGCAGAGTCAAACTCCCAGGTACAGCAAATGTTTAATTTCTTAAATGGTCCTGTTATTGCTCACAGTGCCTCAGTGAAGGGGATTGATATTAGCAGCGCTTTCTGAAAGGTGACTGCATTTGGTAGCAGAGTAAGCAGCACATGCTTCACACACCCGTAAGGCACTGTGATTCCAGAGAGAAAGAGAGTAGCACATTTTTACACTGGTTAATATGGCAATGAATCATCCCACTGAGATAAAGGTTGAAAACATTAAGAGAGGAATACAATAGGCTGGAATAAAAAAATGGGTCTCAGCTGGTTCAGATTGTACATATGCATATAAACAGTATGAGAGAGGAAATAATGAGGGTGAGGAGTGCAAAGTAATGAGGAAAAAGATCAGGTGCATCTATCTTCCCGGAGGCTGAAGGAAGATATTAAACCACTCTTTCTGGTAAATTGTCACTGCCAGTTATTGACAAAGCTGTCAATTATACAGCATCATTTAGAATGATGAAGTGGAGGGAATAGGGATCTAGAGACACACAGGACTGTAGGAGGGTAGAGATGTATTATAAATGATAAATGGATTGGATTTAAAAGGGAAAAAACAAAGAGACCAGATACCATACATGTAATTAAATATCCTTAATCAGCATGTTCATGCAGTTTAGAAATTGCCCCTTCTCCCTTTAGCGACCGATTCTGGAGAGCAAACAGAATAGAAGACAGAGCACTAGGAAAGGGAAGGCAGGTCTGTGTCATGATGCTGCTAGCATAGCACTTCAGTGAATTGGTATTCACTAGCATGTAAACACAGCTCTGCAGCAGTTGGCCAGCCTTTAGAGGAGGATGTTGTTAGAAATATGTATTTCTAAAGCAATATCAGAAAGTTGCCAAACAACAAATTAGGTGAGTCATTTGACTCCTTCCTTAAGCACATCCCTTACTGTAAGCACGAGTAGTCCCCCTACTTAAAATGAGAGATTTGAACATCTGACTGCATGTTTGATATGAGCAAGGGAAAGCTAGCAGCTGGCATCACAAGTATTTAAAAAAAATGGGTTGTTCAAAAAAGGAAAGTATGATTCTATACCTCACTAAAACTGCTAGCTCAGGGACCGTTGGCCATGTTTTTGTAACACCCTGACTGACTGCTTGCAGGATTAAAATCCTCTTCACACAAACACAAAGTCAAGCTAATTTGTTATTCACTTGTAGGAAAAGTCTCATGTAATAATCTAGCTGAATTAACGCATGGATTTTCAAGTGCTGCACTACAACACACACTGGAAAAGCTTCTAAAAAAAAGAATATAGCTTTGCAAAGTGCACAGCATGCAAAAATGCAGTATGCAAAGGAGAATCAATATTATGTAATTCAGTGCAATAACTTTTGTATACAAAGGGGGAAAACGAGACAGCAAGGAGGGAAGCATCATGTTTGCCCCAGAAAATCTTCTCCGCTGATGTTAGTGATCTACATGACAGCAAGTCAGACCCCTCCTGGATACACTGAATAGCATAGGACCTAACACACCCTAACAGTGTAAGTCAGAGCCAGACTGATGAGAAAGAAGTGATCTAGATAAAAGTATCAGCTTGAATAACTCTGGAAAAATGGACTCTGAAGCAGAAGCCAGAGAAGATCTTGTGGCAGAATATTACTCTCAGAGGGAGATGTATATTTGCCAAAGATATAAATGGACAGTTCTCAAAAGGCAATTTCATCACAGGGCATACACCCTTTTCATCTCCTTCCAAGACTGACCAGTTTTTAGAGTGTAATATGGTAGAAAAGCATAATGTGTTAGAGTGAAGCTCGGCATAATGGTGGATTTTACTTGCCTAAGAAATCTTCCATTAGTCTTTGTAATTACACAGCCACTTTGGAGATCCTCTCACAGAAATGCATATATCCAAAAAATAACTAAATAATGTAGGGTCCTTCTGCTTTGGGTAAGTGTTTCCCCTTCCATACCTGGTACTCGGGTACTTGGGTACTTGCCTGTAACGTATTTGGGGGTAAAAATACCCATTAACTTCTCTCTCTTCCTATTTAACAGTCAGCAGATGTTGACATGCCCAATGAATACTCCAAATGGAACAAAGTGGTATGGTTTCTTTGCTAGTCTTAGGCAATGCCAAAAAATACATCCAGTTTTTACTTTCCTCTTTTATCTGTCTCAACATCCTTTGCAAGACACAGTATCCCTCTGCTGGACAAAAAAATGGGAACAGTGAGAAAACAGTACAAAGCTGAGAATGAGGGTGATACTGTGCTTAGGAGAAAGTACTCTCAATCAAAATGAGTATATTTTTAAGACTGGAATTCATAACTGGAAGTAAGGAGATGCATGTTATGAGGCAGTGTGCAGCCTAAGAACCTAGAAGAAAAACTTACTATATTAATCAGTACAGACAATGTACAGGCCCTATTACCAGGCAGAAGTAAAGAGCAAAGATTATAATGTATGAAAACATGAGCGACTGACACCTGCAGATTCTGGGGGGGGGGTACCAGTGGCTGATTGACAACCA